TTGTATTATATATTTAACTGTATATGATTTAACAGTTCATTTCTTGTTATATATCTAATTATCTTTATAAATAAATATATTGAATTATCAGCAATTTGGTTTTATCTCTCTAGAGAACCCTGTCTAACACAGTTGCCAATATTTTCCTAAAAATTTTCAAGTGTCTTTTAAAGAAATGGCCTAATGGACCACTCTTTCCCCTTTCTTTTATACAGAGAAAGGATTTCCACATGCCAGAATCCCACAATCCTTTGCAAACCATCCACACGGAACATCTCTATTGTCTCCAGCAGTCTGCGAGGTTGGCACACACATTGCGAGTTCCATCCCTCAGGGTGGAGAACTCTACCAAGTCTGTCCTTTTCCTCACAGCTTTGCCGATGGTTTGAACTTAGTTGCCTGGACACATCGTCCAGGCGGCCTCCCACGCTGCTCCCCAAGGAATATATTATTCAATTTCTTGTTTCTTAGGTGAGTTAGCGTTTTAAACACCACCCTTCTCCTTTAAGATCTCCTAACTCACAATAAGCGGACGAGCAAGGAGGGAGGGTTCCCTTCCCTCTACAGATGAGGCATCTGAGACTGAGAGAGGTCAAGTCCAGTGACTTGCCTCAATTCATGCAGCCGGATGTGGCCGAGCCTGCTCCACACCTAGCCTGTCTCATTCCCAAGTCTGTGTTAGTAGTTCTGCTCTAGAGTCTTGGTTTAGATAGAGTCTAGCGGGTGGAGGGCCTGGACACCACCGCTCTGGCCTTCACCTCCTCCCTGGCCAGGTGGTCAGACTTCTAAGGTCAGAGTGACCATGAAGTTGGGAAGGGCAGGGGCCTCTGGGACTCTAAATGAGCATTGGATCCAAACACACTTGGAAATGCTGTTCACAGAGGAAGCAAGAGAGCCGTGTCCCCGTCTCACTCTCACGTCAGCGTCTCAATGGGTCCATGACGATAGAACAGCTGCACGTCCAGGGACGACTTCCTTGCTCCTTGCCTCCTCCGAACAAGCCCAGTCAACGGCTGTGAAAAACAGGGCCTAGCAGGCCAGACACGCCAGAATTGGTAAGCAACAGAGTCAGCAGAGCCGAGGCAGGGACTCCCGGTGGAAAACTGGAAGGGGAAGCTTTTTCTGCAATATCGGGGTGATGCATCTGACCTCCCTGAGCCTCATTTTCTTCACAGCCCAGAGTCTTTCTGGCATGTCTGGTTGTGGGGTGGACATGAGATATAGCCAAGGGTGGTAGCCAGTCAGCAGTCGATGTTTTCTTTTCTTTTAATGAAGAAACCGTAGCTCTTGAGCAAGATTCTCCCAGCATACTTTATATGGTTGTTGTTGTTGTTAGGGGCCATCGGGTCAGTGCCGACTCCTAGTGACCATGAGCACCACACAGACCGTGTGCACCCACCCCGTCCTGCACCCACCCCGTCCTGCGCCAGCCTCACACTTGTCCTTGTGTTAGAGCCCAGGGTTGAGCCACTGTGCCCATCCATCCTGTTGAGGGCCTTCAAAATAGAATTGGGGAAGTGATCCCACATTTTCCCTTCAGGTTCCTGTGGCTGACGTCCCTGTCCTAGGTAGGGTGTCTGGGACAGCCCAGCAGATGCACTCCCAGGTGTGCCTCACCACTCAGGAGGATACAGAGAGAGAGAGAGAGAGAACCACCTGGGGGCTGAGACAGAGCAAAACTCATTCTGCTATGCCATAGTCGGAAAGTGCCCACCCCTCAGGGTGGATGGATGCTGCCCAGGGAAAGAAGACCATAGCCATGCCTTCTTCCTTCCCGTTTCCACGCCCACAAAATAGCGCCTTTGGGGAAATCAGAGCTCTTGTCCGAAGCTCGCTGCTTCGTTTGCAAATTGGGTACGGTTTCTTACCCGTCTGAAAGTACAGCCGGGCCAGATTGGCGAAGAGTGGTCTGACTGCTTTCCCTACCCTCTGGACTGTCAAACAGTGCCTCTCTCCCCACTGCCACCCTGCCACTTAAGGGCCTCCCCTTCTCTCTGAGTGCTTCTCAGACATTCTTGTCCTGGGCTGGACGTTGGATGCTCCAATCCGCCGAGTCTGAGTTCTCACTGAGAAGACTGGTACAGACTTGCAGGAAAAGAAGCAGCCAAAGAATGGACCTTATTTCCAGCCTGGGAAGACCACATCTCAACTGTACCCACCTAAGAAAGCATGTGCCAGGGAGCTCAGGCATCCGACTCCCCCCCAACAGAAAAGCCCTCGATCACTGACTTTACCTTCAACAGCATCTGGTATTTTCTAAGTCTCTGACTTGGTCCTCGAAGATACTTAAAAAGAGGGAGCTTGTGATCCAACTGGCGCTGGCATACCTTTAAAAGTCAAAGAGAAACAACAGTCAACAAAACAAGCAACACGCAGTGAGAGAGCAAACGTGGCCCCGTTGAAGCACAGTCTATGAACTGGGTTCTTCGTGGACACGGAGGTGGCTGTGTGGATGGGTTTTGACAGTTTGTTGGTCTGTTCAGTCCCTCAGGAGCAGCGTGTGGAAGGAGAGAAAGAAGAACGGAGACTGCTTGGCTAGTCTTTTCATAGGCAACAGGACCGTTGATGCCCTGTAGGGCACCAGAAGACAGTGGGGCATTTCAGGTCCTTTTGAAATGGAAGCAACCTGTCTTTGAGTTGGAGGGAGAGCGTACGTTCAGGTCATTTTGAGCCTGGAGGGCCTGGGACACCTTGTGCGGCATCATCCCAGGGGGCTCCAAAGGGTGACATTTAAAAAAAATTGATGCTAGAAGAATTTTCAAAATAGTTCTGGTTTCATTTTAAAAACAGATTCTAGAAGGAGACTCTGGTTTTCTCACCAAGTTCCAGTTTCTCTTCAATGTTGATATTATAGTTTTCTTTAAAGGCATTTTAAATTAAGCACAGGTTTATAATGCATTTAGAATTTTCCAGACCTTTTAAAGTACCTATAACTTTGTCAGGGTTGTGTTAGTGACGAACATTTGTACTTTTTTGAACGGGCAGACTTTTTTATGATTACTTAATCAGAAAAGGAGAAAATGTATGAAGTAGTTTTCAAGGTAACTAACACTTGAAGATACACACAACAAAGTCATTGTTAATATCTAGTAGTATTGTCAAGAGCCTATCAATATCTAAAGGCACATTGTACTTTACATTAATTATTTGGCTTACATGTCTGTGCAATGTTAGGGGTGGGGGAGATATTGTAAAGGTCTTTGATTTTTTTTCTAGTTTAAAAAAAAATAAAAGAGTTGGAAAATTTCATGAAGGCCTGAGAACAGAACACGGAGTCTACTCCACGCTCTAATTGGCTCCCTTTCATAGGCACTCGGGAGGGCATGGGAACGCCATTGTGCCATTCCTACATAAGAGAGACCTTAACAAACATAAATGCAACACATCAATGCCAGTGCCCTCTGACTGCTTTGTAGTTTCTGTAAAAATTCTGCGCACATAAGCATTTCCCAGGGCCAACCATCGTGAGACCCTGGAATGCCCACTTTACCCCGAAGTAGGCACCGTCTTCACATTCTTGCCAGATGGCCTTAGCTCGGGGCAGGTTTTTGTGGTATTTAAAATATATTTGAAGCTCTTCTTTCTGAGCGAGGAAAGAAAATAGAACAGATTAATCAGGTAGCCTTTTTCATAAATTGATAAGATCATGCAGTTTGGTGTGAGGAACAGCTGTTGCGTTGCTAGGAGTAAGAATCGATTTGATGTGAGTGAGTTAATTGTCAAGGAGGAGTAACTTTATTCTTGATAAGTGCACCACCACAAACCACACAGATTATATGCAGGGTTTTAGGTCTGGATTAACGGTTTCTGAAGTTTCTCCCAAGCGGTGGGAGGGCAGAGTGGGGGGAGCTATAAAAAGTAAAAGTGTAGGTCAGGAGTCTGTCCAAGAAAAGATGTTCCTCATATTTAAACGATTTTTATGTGGTAATATCCTCTTCTTTATCCCCACAGGAAATTGATCGGTTCCTCATTCAACAATTTCAATACGTCCTTTTAATAATGCTATAAACCCATTGTCGTCCAGTCACCTCCATCTTCCGGCATCTCACAGAGATTCTGAGGTTGTAAATCTTTCCAGGAGCAGGCAGCCTCATCTTTCCCTCTTGGAGCAGCTAGTAGGTTTGAACCACCAACCTTGCATTGGCAGTCTAATGCTTTCCTGACGCGGTTCCTTCTAATAATATAAGGAATCATAAAGTATGTTTGAACTGTGAAACTAGAGTTCAGTGGTTTGATGAGTGCAAAACAGCGTGACACAGTCATAATGCCTCAATGGGGATTTGAAAGGGAAAGTAATCAGATTGGTTACAAATAATGTTTTGGCATATCTTGAATTTTAGTACTTGCAAAAAAAAAAAAAAAGCTGGTCCCTATAGTGAGGCTGTGACACAGAGGCTACGGAGAGTCTTCTCCACTGGCTAAGAGCTCTGAGGGTCGCAAACTCTGTTTCTCCACTATATGCAATACCCTGTAACATGGGGGGCGGAGGGCGGGTTGGGGGTTAGTTTTCTTGTTTCAGCTTCATTTAGATGGAGATGTGGGTTTTAAACATGTCAGAGTTGTCTGATGTTCTCCAAAGAAAAGACAGACTGAAAGGAGGATGTATATGGAGCCGGGAGAGAAAGAAGGGGTCGTATTGAAGGAGTAGAAGCTCTTGGTGGTCATTGTGAGCAGGAGGGAAGCTCCTGGTGTAGAACGGTGTCCAGCTCAACCATTCTCTGGGCCTCTAACTCGGGGACCCACACCGCCTGCTGATTGCACAAACAGGAAGGGGAGAGGGCAGGGCAGACTGTGAAGTCTGGGCTGGGGCGGAAGGGGGCTGTGGGAGGTATAGAACAGGAAGTGAAAAGCCTAAGGGAGTGTTTCAATTGAAATTTTTCTAATTATCCTCTATGCTGATAAAAAAGGAATAAGATATGTGTTAACACCAGACCGTATCCACCACCCCATTGAGAGTATAAATACGTTGGTCCAGAACTTGAAGCTTGCTCTACAGTAAAACAGCTTGGTTGCTTCACCAAGCGGGCAGGAAGCCAGGCTGGCTGCTGCTCCCACCTACCCAGCATGGGGCGGAGGGAAGTGAAAGAAGCTAAGTGGGGGGAACCAAACTCCTGCGAAGGACTCCTGCTTTGTGTTCAAAAGCTTTGTAGACCCTTGCCATTCCATTTGCCCTTGCTACTTATGCAGAACATTCGAGGCTGACTTTAATCACATAGTTATTTTTGATTGATTAGAAGCCCAGACTTACTCTCTTGAGAAAGCAGCGTGGCAGAAGTTCAGGATTGTCAGTGCATTTTCCCAATTCTTTTAGGAAAGTCCTAGGGGAATAAAAGAATAATTGTCCTTTGTCTTTTTAAAGCACAACCACATGAGCTCGTAAGAGGTGCTGAGAGAGAAAAATGTTCTCTAGCTTTTATCACTCTTGACACCTCTTCAAAACACTGATTTGGAAGAAAGCATATATTCGGTGCCCTTACTATAGAATTACTGTAAAACTACCCACCCGCCACAGACAGACTAGATGGATGAATGCTTCCCACCGCATCACAATAATGCAAGCATTGCTATGCCACTGCTATTATCAATAACCTGGAGAGCTTACTACGGGCCAAGCACGAGCTAAGCGCTTTACAAATAAAACTTACTGAATCCTCCATCCAGCCCTGCTAGGTGGGGCTTTACCAGTGTGAAACCCAGGCCTCAAAGAGAGGAGCCTGAATAACTTCTCCAAGGAGCCCGTTCTGGCGAGCAGGGGAAACGGTTTCCTTTCCGATTTTGTGACTGATGGATAGGATGTGGTTTCGGAAACAACGGAGGTTCAGGTTCACCGAGCAATCTTTTTCCCTCCGTGAACGCGGTGTGAGAGCCCTGGTGGCACAGTGGTTAGGGGCTGCGAATGGAAAGGCCAGCAGTCGCAACACACCAGGTGGTCCATGGGAGAAAGATGAGGCTTTCTACTCTCACAAAGAGTTACAGTCTCGGAAACCCAGCGGGGCAGGTGGATGCTGTCCTGTGGGGTCATTATGAGTCCGAACGGACTCCACTGCTGGTGAGTGTGCGCTGGAATGAAGGGTGTGATCTTGGGGTCTTCTTAGGGAGTCAGGGAGTAAAGGCAAGGGGCCCCTTCTCCATGACTCACACAGATGCATTGAGAGAAGAGGCTCTGGGGCACAACTTCCCTCACTTGCTCGATCTCAGCATGCGTGTAGCGCTAGTCAAGGGTCAACCTTATTTGATTGGTTAACATGTTCAAACACCCTAGTTGCCAGCATTACTCAATGATAAGAGCTAAATGAACCTGCGTCTTGGCCATTTTCATATTACCAATTTGGAACACAGTGCCCGGCATAGAGCGAGTGCTCGATAAATACTGAAAATCCGAGCCAACGAAAGAACAAGGAAACACATCCATGAATACAACAGGAATGCCTGGCTCTTACTGGGTGTCCCCTTGAAGTCTTTTCCTTCCTCAGCCATCCTGTGGTGCTCCTCCCCTCCTCCTCACCCCACAACCTAAGCCAACCCAATCTGCTGGCTCTGGACCCCTGGCTGCCCTCTGCAAAGGTCTAAGCACACTCTTCTCTGTGGCAGTTACATAATCTGCTGTCCATTTGAGAGGATTACAAGTGAAAGGGTGGAGTTTAGCCTTTGTATAGCCCATGAGGCCTCTGTGTGGGCATGACCTTCTCCTGAGGATTCTGGGAACTCCTGTAACTCCTCCTTGGCAGTGGGAGACATTCTCTCTCTCTCTGCTGACTCCCTGAGAGACATTTCTGAGGAGAAGCCACATGAAGCTACCTTGAGGCAGAGTTTCAGAGCTGAAGGAACCACGTGGGGACCCCCAGCCAGCGCTAAGATGCCACAATGCCACTGGATCCACAAGACTTCCCACCCACTGGCCTATGAGCATCCTGCATTCGGCATCATTGCATGTGTTTTGTGAGTCTGAAGACGACTTTATAGATTGGTATTGGACATATGGGCTAATATCGGACTTATGGACTTGATCTGGACTGGACTGGGATGTTTTCTCAATATTCAATTACTTTTGTATATAAAGCTCTTTCTTTTACACATATGCATCTCCCTGGATTTGTTTCTCTAGTCTACCCAGACTAACATTGTCTCCAAATCCCACCAGCCTGATTTCCACCCCACTCATTTCCCTCGATAATTTGGATTATTATATACCTGCTGTGAAACTCATGAAGCTCTCTAATGTTCCCAAAGAGAAAGTCCTTGTTGTTTTGGAGAACATCTGGAATCAGATGTTTCAGCCAAATAAAGTCCATAGGCACGATGTATCCCTGCAGAGGGTGGAGACAGGGTGGTTTTTATGGATAGGAATATAGGAGAGATGAGAGGAATTCACTACTCCAAGAATGTCCACTTTGAGGACATAACTGGGCAACGAAGCATGCATATCTCCTGAGATCTATCCTACCAGAAACTTTCTTTTGATACAATTTTCTTCACTATTTCTGTTTTCAGAAGATGATTCAGTGGCAATTAAAAGACATTTTTATAGGAAAAGCAAACACATTTAAAGTTTTTTCAAAGTTATATAAGTCACATGTCAAAGAAAGGTAAAAAAACATGAGCAAACTGCCATGCCCATTGTAGTTTATTATATTTCCGTGGTGGCTTAAAAACCTATTTACTGTGGTTGCTATTATAGTGCACACATAATTTTGTATTCTGTTTTTCCATCTATATCTTAGGCTCAGTTTATAAATTTTGATATATATTGTTTTCAATTTAAGCATTTTTATATCAAGTATTTGCAATGTTCAAAATAATTATCTTCTATAGTTCAACGATATTTCATTCCTTGTGTACATAATTCTTTAATCATTCTCTTTATGATTAGATATTTCAGTTGCTTCTGAATTTTTGTTGTAAACAATGATAACTTTGTGTATGTAGTTTTATTCTTTTGGATTAATCCTTTAAGAAAATTGGGAAAGACACATTTTCATTTTTCAGGAAAAAAAAGTTACTTAAAATAACGAGAGACAATGTTCCCGTATTACATTATGCACAACACTTAAGTTTTAGTAGCCACATTATTGCTGAGGATCTGGTGCAGTGAGTTGGGCGTTGCTTCCATCAGTATGAATCAGAACAATTCTTTAGAAGCTATTTACTTTCAGGGATCAAAAGCCATAAGAATAGTAATAGTTTCATTGGAAAGACAAATGTATCATTACAAGACCTGATACCTCAGTGGGAATTCCAGAGAGATAGGGTAACTATGAGTCCCTTTGTGCAACAGAACTACTTCTCCAGTGTGTCTGTATTCTTAATGTCCCCGCCCCAACCTACTTACATCAATTATGCTCTTGATTTCTTTTATATAGACGTCTTCAGTCTCAAGCAAGTCCTGTATAATGTGCCTGAAACACAGTAGCAGGTGGGAGGAGGAGGGAGGCGTGGCAGAGGCGGGGTGGGAAGGAAGAGAGAGAGAGAGTACTTTCAGAATTCTCTTAGAATAACACTCGTTGAGACAGCGCCCCTTCGAAGCTCACCTACTTAGGTTCCAGCCATTCTGTTCTACGGAACACCAAAGCCAGAGACACAATCTAGACACCTTGGCATCAAGAAGAAATAGCCAGGTTAGAGCACCCAGAATCCATTTGTTCAGCCAGTAATGACGCAGAGCGGACCTTATAGTCCAGGGATCCAGAGGACAGAGTTTAGAGCCACGTATGTTAGGTTTAGATCCGGGGTCAGGAAAGTCTTCTGACCCCCATGCTGTAATGTGGATTCCTTGCTTTTTGTCCCCACTTTATACTGTTTGGTGCCTGAACACCAAGATCTTGGGCCTACCTGCAAGCACTTTGTTACACATGGGTTACTTCCTTTTCTACTGGATGTTACAGTGTGACTGCTCTCTTAAACCAGAAGGCATGCACTCCTACTTCCTGTAAGGAAGGGATGCTGCTGGAGAGTGCTGGGCAGAATTCCAACATGGCCCCCAAGATTCTTGGCCCCTGGTATACACTACCTTCTCCCCGTTAGTCAACCACACACCAATTTGGTTGTTGTATGAAGGGATTTTACAAACGTTATTAAGGCCTCAAATCATTTCATCTTAAAATAGGCAGTGGGATAATTAGGTTATGAATCAAGTTGGATAGGCCAGGTTTCACCTACGATAGGATCTAACATAGTCCATGATGAGATTGACTGTGGAGCAGCCAAGCAGTTGTGGGGAGAATAGACCTGAATCTGGTCACATCCTTGATACTGTGGAAGGAGGCTTCATTCACGGGATGGTCGACACTCTACATCGATGGTGTGTTGAAGCTAGGATCTGTCTCCTGCTGGCTGTGGATCTGGCTTATCAACCTTCTGTGATATCATCTGTCTGCCAATCCCAAGAGATATTAGTGAACTGTCAATCTTGGATGTTTGCCTGGAGTTGGATTCATTAAGCTCGGCATCTACCAGCCTGTGGTCTTCGTGCTTCCTGTTTGTCAGCCCTGCAGCTACACGAGTCAGGAGAAACCTTCAGTTTACTGACATCTGACCCCTGGACTTGAACCACACTGAACTTACCCAGGTCTTCAACCGAGTGAGGCATTTCTTGATACAAATCTCCTTCAAATTACAGACACGTAAAAGAGACACTAGTTTTGCTTCTCTAGAGAACGCTGTATAACACAGATAAAGAGTATCTTGGATGGACTTATCCTAATCACAGAACTCTTTAAATGTGGGGTTAGAGGTCAGGGATTTTGAAGCAGCAGAAGGATTCTGCACAAGGGATAGGTGGCTCTGCTATCTTGAGAGATGAGGGAGGCCATGTGCCAAGGGTTATAGGAGGCTTCTAGGAGGTGAGAGAGGTCCCTGGCTGGCAGGTGTTCAGCACACAATGATGTCAGTCTTCCAGTCACAAGGAACTGCATTCTGCCACAACCACCTTTGAAGAGTCTCCTGACTCCAGACAACTGGTCAATACCTTGACTTTAGTTTTGTGGGCACTGACCCGAGGAGGTGGCCTGGTGGCACTGCCAGTTAGACACTGGGCTACAAGCTGAAGGCTGAAGATGTGAACCCACTAGCCACTCGGCGAGGGAAAGATGCAGCTGTCTGCTCCTGAAAATATTCAATCTTGAAAACCCGAAGGCTCACCCTGAGTAGGGATTGACTTGGTGGCCATGGGTTTAGTGTCAGAGGAAACCAGTCTCCAGCAACCGAAGGGCCAGAAGGCGCAAATGCACGGCGATGATGTATAAAGATTACGGTACAGTCATAGAGGATGAGAAAGATAGGAGAGAGAGTAAAATAAAGGAGTCAGACACGTGTTATGGTAGCACGCTCACCTCAGCTCCTCCTGATGGACCACGTGGAACTGGGAGAAGTGAGATGAGCCTTTACTGTCTTGGGACATTTATAGGTAGCCTGAAGACAGGCATATTCAGTAGTTACATGCGACACAAGGTGGGTGGTGTCTATATTAAAGGTCCCTGAGCTCACAGGTGAGGAAACCTAACACCTGTCTTGGGGGAAGGCACATGGAGGGGCGGGGGTGTTGGGTGTCACCGTGGGAAGAGAGGGCAAAAGGACAATGTCTCGTTCCATATGGAGATATAATCAACCATGTGCTCACTTTAAGGGAGCATAGCTGTTAAGGGGAGGATCTGTGGGAATGATTTTAAAAGTAGGATAAAGTACTTGGACTTTACCTCTAACTTACCAAAGCGGAGGCTTTCCTATCGTGGAATACCAATTTCCCAGATTCCCTCGGTTATAAGTTAAGAAATATAGTCCTCGTTATATTTCCTACAGTATTAGTTTCCCATAGTTTAGAGGTTTTTAATCCAGCCATATTGTGCCTGGACGTCTATCCCAGGGAAACTGAATTAATAAATGATGTCCTTGTAAGCTGCTCAGTGTCTCGTCATTGGTCATGCAACAGAACAGATTCAGGGTGCGGCCAGTGTCCACAGATATCCCCCGACAGACTTTGCTTTCTCATATCAGCCTCTGTGGCCACACTCAGACTTCCTCTTCGGGTGCAGAGTGAGTAATGTACATGTATCTGCTGGTGGGTCATCCATGAAGCAACAGTCTGTCTCAGTCAAGAGTTTCTTCTCCTCTCAAAAAATAAAGGGGGCAATAATATGCACCCAAACAAGACAGAGCAAAACAAAGTAAAAAAAGAAAACAAAACAACAACAACAAAAACCAATGACACAAAAAAGAAAAGCCTATAAATAGTTCAAGGTCTGTTTGTTGACCTTCAGGAGTGTTTTCTGGTCGAGTCTGATGGGGTGCCATGCCCTGGCCCCAAAGTCTATTTTTGGTATTCCCTGGAGACTTTGTTGCTGTTTCCCTTGCTGTTCTGTTGCATGCCCTTAGTGTTTTGCCTCCGTTTAGTGGGGTCAGATCGGACACAATTCCCGCACTGGGTCTCCAGTGTTGTCCCCCATAGTGTTATGGGTTAGTGAGGGACGTTGTGTCTCATGTTGGAGCTGGCCCGCTGGTCCTCTCTGCGCATTGGCTGCTCTGAGCAGGAATATCGTCCTCAGGGCTTGGTGGGCCAGGATGTGCTCCATTCTCTCCTTCCCCCTTCCTTTGCTCCCGTGTGCTCTGATCAGACGTCCCTCTCCCTGAGCTGCAGCTTCAGTGCTGGCCTCTGAAGTGAATTGTTCTAGGGGGGGTGGGGGGCTGTCCATGTAGTTGGGATTAGGGCTGGCCCCTCAGACCTCTCTATTGGTTCTCTGCTTTATGATGGTATGTTACATTCACATCTTGGAGCACCGGTTTGAAGTCTGGTCCCTCTTTCTCTGTGGGGATATAACAATACCCTCCTTGGGTGGGTTAGTGCCCTGTTCCCCCACTACTCATATCTTTGTCCCCCCTCCTTTTTAGTTGGCTACCATATGTGTCCCTGGATTTGGTCTGGTCCTCGCCATATTTTGTGTATATTATTATCTCTGCATGTCTATCTAGATAAGATAGGCTGGATAAACAATCAGGAGGAGAAAACATTGGGACTGATGGTTCCGGGGACACGGGAGAGGGAGAGGCAGGGGAAAGGAATTGGGTGTTAACAAACCCAGGGACAAGGGAATAACAAGTGATCTAAAATCAATGGCAAGGAGGGTGTAGGATACCTGGTACGGCGTGATCAAGGGCAATGTAACCAAGAGGAATTACTGAAACCCAAATGAAGGCTGAGCATGATAGTGGGAGAAGAGGACAGTAAAAGGAAATAGCAGGAAGAACTAGGAGGCAGAGGACATTTATAGAGGTCTGAATACAGGCATGTACATATGTAAATATATTTATATATGATGATAGGGAAATAGATCTATGTACATATATTTATATGTTTAGTATTAAGGTAGCAGATGGACATTGGGCCTCTACTCAAGTACTCCCCCAACACAAGAACACTTTGTTCTATTAAACTGGCATTCCATGATGCTCACCTTCCTGATACAATTGCTGAAGACAAAGTGGGTGCATAAACAAATATTGTGAAGAAAGCTGATGGTGCCCAGCTATCAAAAGATATAGCATATGGGGTTTTAAAGGTTTAAAGGTAAACAAGCTGCCATCTAGCTGAGAAGCAACAAAGGCCACATGGAAGAAGTACACCAGCCTGTGTGATCACGAGGTGTCAAAGGGATCAGGTATCAGGAATCAAAGACCCAGAACAAAAAATCTTATCACTGGGAATGAGGGAGAGTGAGGAGTAGAGACCCAAAGCCCATCTGTAGGCAACTGGACATCCCCTTACAGAAGGGTCGCAGGGAGAAGACGAGCCAGTCAGGGTGCAGTGTAGCAACAAGGAAACATACAACTCTCCTCTAGTCCTTTAATACTTCCTGCCCCCACTATCATGACCCCAATTCTACCTTACAGACCTGGCTAGACCAGAACATGTACGTGGCTACAGATAAGAGCTGGAAACACAGGGAATCCAGGACAGATAAACCTCTCAGGGCCAATATTGAGAGTAGCCATACCAGGAAGGTCAGGGGGAGGTGGGAGGAGAGAGGGGGAACCAATTACAAGGATCTACATATAACCTACTCCCTGGGGGACAGACAGCAGAGAAGTGGGTGAAGGGAGACATTGGACAGTGTGAGATATGACAAAATAATAATAATTTATAAATTATCAAGAGTTTGTGAGGGAGTGGGGATCGGGGATGGAGAGAAAAAAATGAGGAGCTGATACCAAGGGCTCAAGTAGAAAGCAAATGTTTTGAGAATGATGATGGCAACAAATGTACATATGTGCTTGACACAATGGGTGGATGGATGGATTGTGATAAGAGTTGTACGAGCCCCCAATAAAGTGATTTAGAAAAAAAAGAAAGACATGATTGATAGATCCCCACTGACAGAGGATACCATATCAGGGTACCATATCATAA